GACAACGAGGCTGAGTCGGGCCTGAGTATGCTAAACTAGAGAGAGCATCGCTGGCAAGGGGGCTACAACTACAACAAGATGGACATATTTGACCGTGATTTAATTGTAATACCCGTTTCAAAATGATTGCCGAAGTAACAACATACTGATACCGGTTAGTAAAAACCATGAATTAATGCTTTGACAAGTCTGCAGACAGACGGCAGGCGAAAAACCTTTTAAAATGTGTGTTTTCTAAATGGAGATTGGCTAAGCTAACGCAGTATATGCTCCGACCGTCCACACTCACAACAACGGCCTATACAGACATAAATAAAGCAGCGACTGTATTCCACCATGACACAGGCAGTCTGTGGTTTGTACTTGTTTAACTTTTGTCGAGTTTCTGAACAGATATGAGGAGCTGTGAGATCTGAGTGCTAACAGCTAACGGCTGTGTTGTTTTTCTGGGTTCTCATTGAATATGCCGTCACGGCTCCGCCTACACTGCGTTACTATAGATACTACCCCAGCTCCTAAACTGTAATGGAAATGCGCCATAAAGTGAGCCAGTCCTAATGAGGCCTAGCCATACCGAGCGAGGCCGTTGTAGTGGGAAATGCGCCCATAAGTCGCTTTGGATAAAGCGTCTAACAAATGACATGTAATGTAATAAATTAATTACATTGTTACGGGCCCCCCTCCATTTCCACTAGGGGGCTCTGCCTTTTGGTTCTGCTTTGCAGGTGATCAACCTGATGAGCCACACCTGTCGACATAAAGGCCAACACCGACCCCCATACTGCCCTCTCACTCTTCTGTTGGACACGGTCTTTGTTTCTGCACATTTTTCACACACCCATACACGCAATCATTACTGATAACTGACTTCCACATTTATTAGGTTTCTTTGAAGTCCCTTAGTTTTTGTTATAGTAAATAAATACGCATTTTGTTACACTTAACTTGTCTGGTCTCCCATCTTTGTTGCAGCCTATGAGCCCAGGCCGTAACAACATACAAATACAAATAAGCAACTGTTGGAAAGTAAGAAAATGACATCCATATGAATGTGCTTATTACGTCATGCTGTCATTACATTTACAAAAATAAAATAAATGTAGGCATTTTTAATTCAAAGACTATATATGGCAGGTATTAAGTGTAATAAATGTTTTTATTTATTTTATTTGTTAGTTATTGTTTATCTTCAGTGTCAAGCGACTTCAGGCCTAATGCAGTGTTTGTGGGCGTAAATTCAAATAAATAATTTCTTTTTGTTACTAAAACAGGGCGGCGGGTGGCTATGTCCACTTGGCTTGGGAACCAGAAGGTCACCGGTTCAAATCCCGGAAAGACCAGGTGCTACCGAGGTGTTGCTGAGCAAGGCACTTTAATAATGACATCCATGGATCAAATGCAGAGACCCAATTCATTTCCATCTTATCTTAAACTCCATGGAAAGGTTGTTGGATCTGATAGAAGATGGCATGCATGAAGTTATTGTGTGAAAATAAGAATATTGCTCAGGAAACCAGAACCAAGGCCATCGATTCTCATCCAACACACTCAGAATAAAAAACAACTGAATGCATGAAATAAAACTATAAATAAATCCTCAGATTCCACTGGGTTTGTGAGAGAAGAGACAGAAAGTATTTACTGAACACGCTGCAGGTCAACATGCATTTTAAACGGTGTATCTGTGTAAAGCTCATCTGTGAGCAGTTAGGAGGGAAAACCACTTCCTGTCTGAAACTCTGTCGTCGTACATATTTAATTTGTACCACCACACATCACACCCACACACACACACACACCTTTTCAGTTCTCAGAAAGAAAGCCTCTGGCTTTTTCTCACACACACACTTTGGTGTAAGAGGTAATTGGGACACACACACACACACACACAAACACAACACACACACACACACACACACAACACACACACACACACACACAACACACACACACACACACACACCACACACACCACACACACACACACACACACACAAACACACACACACAACACACACCACACATCCTCTCTTTGTCTACTATTGTGTCCTTGCCTGTATTTTCCCTCTTCTAATGGAAATGAACACCAGGAAACATCCCATACTTAAAGAGGACAGAGTACATTAAAACTAACTGTGTATTTCAACAGATATTCTATTTGATACTCTCACCTTTCATTTTGTGTTTCATTTCGTCTGTGTGACCCTAATGTGAACGGTTTTGTGCGCATATGATGTAACGTCCCATATGTTGAGCACTTTGAACGCAACTGACAAGTTTAACAGAGGAACCTGCAAACACATATTCCACTTTTACCTCCAAAATAATGTTATATAACTCAAATGCTCTACTTTGAAGAGCCGTATCTTGACGTTGACAGCTAATTTAAAATAAAAAAATCTATTTAGCTTAGGTAAATAATTGTATTTAACCTTTATTTAACCAGATAAAAGCATTGAGATAAAAATCTCCATTTTCAATGCTGACCTGGCCAAGAAGGCAGCAACGTTACACATAACACATCAACACAAACATATAAAATACAGAGAACATAAACTAAGAAAAACAAAAGACCGAAAAAGCAGTCACTACATTGTGCACATAATATATAGGCTACGTGTTGCGTTCACCTCGTTTGTTGTGTGTGCATCGCTCACCTTGTTTCCAGGTGTCTCGAGCCGCAGGAAACACGTCCAAATTAGATAAATAATCAACTTTAAGTAAAGATTAAGTTGAATACGGTTAGTTTGTTCCCACAGCGTTCATTAATGACGGGTCTGATGTTGCGTTCAGGTCTGAGGTTGTGTCAGGGCTGAGGTTGTGTTCAGGGTCCAACAGCACTTCTCTCTCTCTCTGAGCCTGGGGGGCGTCACCTGGGAGCGCGTGACCGTAACGCACGCTGCTGCGCGAGCTCAAAACACTACCGTAATAGTGTAGAAAACACGCAGGGGGACTAATAGGGACTTCTAATCATAATAACAATCATATTAATAATAATAATATAATAATAATGATACATTGATTAAGAAGTGCAATAAAATGTTTAAATAATACAAAAATATATATATAATATTAATATAGTAGTTAGAAGTTAAAGGTAGGGTAGGTAAGTTTGAAAAACCGGCTCGAGATACACTTTTGTTATATTCCATGGAATGCTCTTAACATCCCGATAGCAATGAATCTTAAGTGCTTTGACAAAAAAATCCATAAAAAGATGTCATCTGTGGAAGCTGTAGTACTGAAAAGCACGACCAATCATCTGAGCCGGCCCGGCTAAAATAACTGGATGGCCTACCTGCCTGTCAGCCTTCCATCTGTGCACAAACTTATCTCGTGCCCTCATGGTCATGTGCGCGTCGTGTGTGTTGGAGGAGGGGCTCTGTAAGGAAGTGGCAGATTTCTTCCGGTTGTGTATTTTCAAATTCTAGCGGAGCTGGTTCTCCAAAATTACCCCCCACCTTAAAGTAAAAATGAATGAAAAAAAAGTAATTGCAATAAAATGTTAAAATAAAATAGAATAAATGTTTTATGTAAATCTATAACCTGAAATTATTAATGAATAAATACAAACTTTTATACAAACACAAGTTAAAGAAATAATATAATCATATAAATACAAAATAATAATATAACAATTATATAAAAAAAATAACTGCAATAAAATTATTAAATACAAAATACAAATATTATATTAAAGTTAGAAGTTAAAGTAAAATGATTAAAATAATTGCAATAAATGTTAAAATAAAATAGAATAATGTGTGAATATAATTAAATGAAATAAAATGCAAACTTTTAAATAAACACAAGTTAAAGACAAATATGCACATTGTACTACAATATATTGACGGTTCCCTTTCAGCAGAGAGAGACAGAACTGCATTTCTATTCTAACTGGTTTCCATTTCTAATCCTGCGGTCACATGAAGCTGGACAGTTCCTTTACTTAAAGCTTGTAGTGCTGAGAGATAGGAGTCGGAGGCGGTGCATCGAAGGTGAAAAGTGGTGCTTTAATGAGCAGCAAAACCACATGTTGTCGGTCGCAGCCGTTCACGAAAACCAAGCAATTGAAACTTGAAAAAAATTATATCAAAAAGGTAAACAATGAGGCTCCTCGACGTCAATAAATGCAAGAGATGCAGCATTTTCTCAATGTTTAATTTACATTGTTCATCTTCCTCAGACGTCACTCATTGGCTGACAGCCCAACGATGCTTTGGGCGTTATTACCCCCCAAAACACAAGCCACAGCTTTGCTATCATTGCAGTTTAGTTGTCTTTAAATCCTACATTTGATTCTTAAGAACACAGGAGGGGCTCGGCTGTCTACAAATAAAGACGGCTCATTTGAATTCTCCCCAAATATATTGAGGCTGAACCTGAACGTTCAGCTTGGTCGCCCCCTAGTGGCCGCGGGCACCCAAGCATCTGCACAGTCCGCCTATAGGAAGAAACGGCCCTGATATCTGTTTTATACTTCTAACACACTGCATTTAGGAGGCAAATGTGTTATATGATGCTGGTAAAACAATCAGCTCCAATTCTGCAGCTGAATTAATATAGCGGTTTGATAAAGGAAATCCATTTATATTCTGCTTTAGCTGATAATATGAATCCTCTAAGTGCCAAGTAACCAAAGTTGTTGTTTTGAAGTATAGAGTACTTCCCTATCTCTCTTCCCTGCCTCTCATTTATGCTTTATTTACTTTCCATTACATTGCATTTATTTGACTGAAAACATTTGATTTATACTCTATTTTTCTATAATACAGAGCAATTGTAAAAGGAACCTGTACTTCTAGAATCTGCTACCTTGCTTTTGACCGTCTCGACCATTTCAAAAGTCCAATTAATTAAGGAAAGTGCAATATCATATGTCGGGAAAGTCCCCTGTCACATCGTGAATGAAAACAAGAACCCGGAAGACAATCACAATCAAAAGGTTATAATGATGTAAATAATCAGACAGCCGGGTCGGACACCTTTCAATCATCAGATAAACACGTTTATTGCATACACAAGTCTCTGAATTTACTTTTGAGTCCCAGCCTAGGGAGAACTCTAACAATCAATTGATGCACACGGTGACCTCTTCAGTGCTCAGCCTGTATAAAATGCATTCGCCTCATAGGGTGCACAAGCAAAGCGAACAATTAAGAAACTACAAAGTCCACATGTTGGGGAATCGTACCTGTTTGTATCCCACACACACACACACACACACACACCTTGCACGCACGCTGGCACGCAAGGTGTGTGTGTGTGTCTGTGAGAGCTTTCTAATCTCTTCTAAGGGCCCAGGTGAAATCGAATCTCTGCCTTAAATTTAAAATCCGGACAAACAAAAAATGGACATTTCTTTTACATTAGCAGCACCGACAGACAGTTTTAAAACCTCTTAAAATGAAGACCACCCCCCCTCTAGCACATTCTGGTTTGATTTACACATGGGGAACATTTGGAAAGCATGTGAAGGACTTTGAGTGTTGATCGTGTTTTTCCCGTAAGACTTCCACAGCTGATCAGACCATAACGGGTTGTTTTTTTAAAACGAGAAGAATCCAATTTCTACTAAGATGTTCCCTACTAGCATGTTAGCATAGCTAGGTCCACACGCTGTGTTCGAGTCTCTATTTTACAAAGTGGAATTGACTCAGGACTAAAGGAGACAGGATGTTTGAACTACCGACAGCATAGAATAGACAGACTTTATATATATATATATTAGTATATATAATATACAAACAGTATACATAGTCTCTGTGACAGTGGTGGACAGGATGAGTCTCTCCCAGTGTGTGTGTGTGTGTGTATCTACGACCTGGGTACACACAGTAACTTAGTTTAGGATAGAAGAGTACATACGGGATATTAGAGTATTTCAAAGAGTTCCCGATCCCACCGTCTGTCAGTGTCAAATCACCCAAACGTGTTTTCAATCTGGATCTGGAATAATAAGCTAGTATCATGGAGGATGTGAGTGTGCTTGTACATCTCGGCGTGTTCAGGGGAAGACTGATGAGGTGCACTCCTGGGAAACACAAACACAGAAGAGAGATTTAGACATCAATAAACCCTTTACTGGGCGACATGTACATATTTCAGAAGATGATTTCAATGCTTTTTAAACTTTTAAAGATACATTGCCCACTTAGGGTATACATATTGTAATAACCCTAAACCCCCACATTATACTCATATCATACCACATTATACTCATATTACCCCCCATTATCTCACATACACTCATTACCCCAATATTATACTCACATTATACTCATATTACCCCAAATAACTCACATTACCCCAATATTATACTCACATATACTCATATTACCCCCAAATTATACTCATATTACCCCCAAATTATACTCATATTACCCCAATATTATACTCCACATATACTCATATTACCCCCAAATATACTCACATTAGCCCCAAATTATACTCATATTACCCCCAAATTATACTCATATTATACTCATATTACCCCCAAATTATACTCATATTACACCCACATTATACTCACATTATACTCATATTACCCCAATATTATACTCACATTATATTAATATTACCCCCAAATTATACTCACATTATATTAATATTACCCCCACATTATACTCATATTACCCCCCGATTATACTCATATTACCCCCCGATTATACTCTATTACCCCCCACATTATACTATATTATCCCCAAATTACACTCATAATAATATTACCCAACATTATACTCATATTACCCCAATATTATACTCACATTATACTCACATTACCCCCAAATTATACTCATATACCCCAATATTATACTCACATTATACTCATATTACCCCCAAATTACTCATATTACCCCAATATTATACTCACATTATACTCATATTACCCCAAATTATACTCATATTACCCCCAAATTATACTAAACCCAATATTATACTCACATATATCATATTACCCCCAATTATACTCACATTAGCCCAAATAGACTCTAACCCCCAAATTATACTCATATTATCATATTACCCCAAATTATACTCATATTACACCCACATTAACTCATATTACCCCAATATTATACTCACATTATACTCATAACCCCCAATATACAATTTAAATATTACCCCCACATTATACTCATATACACTCCTATTACCCCCCGATATAACATATTACCCCCCACATATACTAATATTATCCCAAATTACACCTTATAGATTAATATTACCCAACATTATACTCATATACCCCAATATTAACTCTTACCCCCAAATTTAACTCATTACCACCCCCAAATTACACTCATATTACCCCCAAATTATACTCATATTACCCCCAAATTATACTCATATTACCCCCAAATTATACTCATATTACCCCCAAATTATACTCATATTACATGGGGTGCCAGGGTGGCATGGGGAGGGCGGACAGTATGTGGTATTTGATACTGTATAAAACCTATTTATTGTTAAATCATGGCCTAACACAAGTGTTCTTAATGCACAAGAGAAACAAGGTGTTCAGACAACAAACTAACATATAGTAAAACAGCAGGAAGTACTCATGATACCTAGAACTCTGTTTACTGTGAGTACAGTAAAGGTACTTAGTTATAATGAAGTACACAGATACATCACCCATCTCTTCAGAGAGCTAAAGGTGAGCTGTGCAGCAACACATTTCAATATGTGTCTAAGAGCTTCTAGATTGAGCTGCTGTGATGGAAGATGTGAGGAGAAGAAGAACATACCATGTGGTCCAGCTGGAGTCTCCTCTGCCTCCTGACCCCTGCCCTGGCCCTCTTTCTGACACTTCATCTGTATTCCTCACATACATGTCTTCTTCTTCACTAATGTCTTCATCTCCTCCTCTTCCTCCTGCTCTGACCCTCCTGGTATCTTCATCCTCCCTTCCTCCTGCTCTGACCTCCTGGTCTTCATCTCCTCCTCTTCCTCCTGCTCTGACCCTCCTGGTCTTTCATCTCCTCCTCTTCCTCCTGCTCTGACCCTCCTGGTCTCTTCATCTCCTCCTCTTCCTCCTGCTCTGACCCTCCTGGTCTCTTCATCTCCTCCTCTTCCTCCTGCTCTGACCCTCCTGGTCTTTCATCTCCTCCTCTTCCTCCTGCTCTGACCCTCCTGGTCTCTTCATCTCTCTTTCCTCTCCCTCTTTCTGTTCGTCCTGATCACTTCTCAGAGATGTCTTTGTGTTCTTGTGACTACTCCAGCTCCTCTGGCCAGCAAGAGTACTTGTGAAAAGCTCTGGTCCAGATGCTTGTGTAACTTCACCGTTAGGGCCATGTAGCTGATAAGTAGATATCATAAATATAACATCAAAAGTATTGATCAAACGCACACAGGCAGCTGTGTTTAGATCCAGTTTGACGGTAAAGGATGTATCCTGGTTTCATTGATCTGGCCTCATGGCTGTGATGTGTAATTTACATGGATTTAATAGTACCGCATAGTTCAGCAAAGTGATCGATCTCCCAGCTAGCGCTGTCTGCGTAGTATTTTGTAACGTAACGCCCCAAACAGCGCCCGTCTGTTAAACGCTATCGATTCAAACGGCAGCGCGTTATTAATATTTAGTTTCAAGCTCTCGTCCTTAGTAAAAACAAAACTAGTGGAGGGGAAATGCTCTGAGACAGCTCTCCTCTCTCTGTGAGCCGCTCTGCAGTTCAATGCAGGGCCGTAGCTACGATTTGAACGGGCCTAAGATGTTATTTAAAATGATTCACTTTTAATGAATGAACTGCTTGTTTCGTTGCTTGAGAAGCTCGTGGACAAAGTGTAGGTTTGTTTCTACAAGTACAGTTTTAGGGACACAGAAGTTAGAGGGGCAAGGCTCTACAGTGGGGGGGGGGCAGCTAGATCCACCCCTGCACCCCACATTTTACCCCCAAATTATACTCATATTAAAAATAGTTTTCTATCTGTGTTTTTAATTTTAGTTTTACTTTTATGTATCAGGTCAGAAGAATTTCATGGACATTTCTACACTGTAGCTTATGTGCACATGACAACAAAACCTTTGAATTTGAATATCATAAACGTGTAAATATATCTTGTATGTGTAAACGTACCTGGCAATAAACTTGATTCTGATTCTAAACGTGCAACGATTAGTCGACTAATCGCCCGAATCGCAGACTAGAAAGATCTTCAGTTGAGTGCAGCCCTACCTAGGCCACAATACCCTCCCCCCTGTATGAAAGCGCGTCCCCCACCTTGCTGGTCTCACGGTTCTGGAGTACTGGATGCCGGTCAAGGATAAAAGGCTAAAATTATAGAATTTGTTGATTTTTTAAAATAGTTTTCTATCTGTGTTTTTAATTCTTGTTTACTTTGATGTCTGCACCACGACACCAAGTCAAATTCCTCGTACGTGTCAACCTACCTGGTGATAAACCTGATTCTGATTTAGTGTGAGTGCAGCTAGGGCCACAATACCCTCCCCCCTATATAAAATAAGAGATAAGATAAGAAGTACATACAATTTAACAATAACAAGATATAAAGCAAGTTATTATATATAAGTATGTGAGAGATGGAATAATAAATATTAAACTGATATGAAAGCGCGTCCCCCACCTTGCTGGTCACATGGTTTGGAGTACTGGATGCCGGTCTTGGAGGCGATGTTGGACCAGGGCAGCAGCGAGCGCAGCAGAGCCTGGGCGTGCCTGAAGAGCCTCTGAGGGATGGAGCAGGGGCTCAGGCCGGCCAGCGCCGAGCCCAGGTGCTGGATGTAGTCCGTGGACAGAGGTTAAGGAGGATGACAAGGACTTTCAGCGTTACAGCAGCATAAAAACACAAGGCATTGTACATAAAAGAGTAGAAATAATCATTCCAAAATCTAATCATCTCAATAGAGAAGATAAGAAGTACTTTTTGTGTTGCCGCAGCAAAACAAGACGTGTAATGGAAAATGGTATCATACTAAGGGAGCATTTAAAGTTCACCATCTGTTCGTTTTTTACAAGTTATTTCTCACAACAGGTAAATGAGTCGTAAGTGGTGATGGAGTTATTTATTGTTGTAAGGTTAATGGTCTTGTCCTCTTGTGGAGTGTAGACATGATGTTTCTCCATTTGCTAGCAGATGTGTTTTAAAGGAGACCTATCATGCTATATTTGAATGATATATTGTAGGGCCATACCTATATAAAGGTATATTTATACGTTTTCTTTTTCAAAATACCAAACAGATCATGCATTTTAGCTAGCCTCATTTCGCTCTATTTTGCTCTCCTCCACCCTGTCTTTGCATGAGCTGCAGCTGACCATGCCCCCTGCAAAGGAGGGGTCGAGGCACGAGCGCCATGTTACCATGCTGTTACCATGCTGTTACCATGCTGTTACCATGCTGTTACCATGCTGTTACCATGCTGTTACCATGCTGTTACCATGCTGTTACCATGCTACGGCAACCTCTCATTCCCCTGATAGGTGGAGAGTTGCCCATATAGGCGGAGCTCCTCGTCACTGACGTCACAGTATCTTCAAATCTGGATCAGTTTTTATCAGATCCGTTGCAGCCCCTTTTTTAGAGATTTGGGTATGGAGGAAAATAGAGAGGGTTGTGTGTTTTCTGACACTTGGTGAGTTCCCTGGAACACCGGGGACACATATTCATGTATAAAAGACGTACAAAAGTGCATTTTGCATGATAGGTCCCCTTTAAAGAGTATATATGTATGTTTATCTTTTCTGTTGTCTCAGACCCTTCTTCTATTCTTGGAGTGAATGAATGTGAATATAAGACCCTCTGAAGACCTTCTGACTTTTGTACTTCGCAGCTTGAACCTCAGTGATGATTTACCTTCTCGCAAGAATAAACTCCCTAAAAGACCGTCTTATTCCAAGAATCTTCATTTCAGAATAACAGAAAGGTTTCCTCACCATTTTATGATTATGTACTGGTTTGTCTCGGTACATTTCCACCACAATTGGCATGGTACATTAAAACTTAAAAGACTAGAAATAATAATTCCAAAATGTAAAAATCTCAAATTGAAAAAAAATGTCATTAAAAAAAGTTGAAATTACAAATGTACTGTAACAAAATATAAAGCAGGGTATTATTATATATGTTAAGTATGTGAGGAATGGAATATTCAATATTAGATTGAGTAATGTAAAATGAACAATGTGAGTTTAAGTCCAGTTATCAAGAGAGTTCTCGTCCAGCCAGAGGAGATTTGTATATTTAAGGTTGAAACACAACCTCGATGATCGGTTTGACTGCTTCATACGTCTACGTGATCGCTTTAAGATACATAGATCTGTGTTTGACAGATCTCTCTGGAGGGAACACAGGGATTTGGGACTTTTTGGAGATGTTTTGGAGGATGCTGAATCCATTTCTGACACATCAATGGCAGTTTCAACCAGAACATGTGCAATATCTGTACTCTCTGTGGGCTGAGCAGACCATTGGACATAGAGAGAACAAGATGAACACGATTACCTCTACTGTGGACAATCCTTTTTCAAATAAATAGGCCATCTGTCCAATCCAAATGATCCCCCTAAATCTTCCAAACCCAAATGTAATGGCCCACAGAGAGGCCATTTTTGGATAGAGCATCTTCAATAACCCCCAGAGCCACTCAGATATCGTCCAAATCGGCTAAGCTATTTTTTTTACAATTGCAAACATATAGGCTATAATGCTAATTAACACCATTTATGGTAATTGTGCAAATTGCCTAACATATGCAGGTTAGCATCCGGCAGTTTGTGTTTAACAGATGGAGGGAACACAGGGGTTTGAAGACCATTTACATGCACAGAAACCTATAGAACACACTACAGGAAAAGCAGAATAGGGTCTCTTTAAAAAGACCAAGAACCTTGGTTGCTGATTGGCTGATGGTTACACAAGACAAAACATCGTTATGACATCATCAAGTGGGGACAAGTTGATGTAGAAGAGACATGAAGAAGAGGGGACACATGTTGATGAAGAAAAGACATGAAGAAGAGGATTTTTCCTAATAGGTGACCTTTAAAGTGAAATGTGTCTTAAAGGTGACTTGCTAAATCTGTCCAGATGAAAAATAGCATCTTGGCACATTTACAGAAAAGTTGATTAATGGCACCGTCCCTACATTTTTTTATAAAACCACCCGTCCTGTGACTGCTAATGCTTCTACAAAAGGATATAATATGGTCCAGGGCGGGTGCCCCCCGTTGATGTAGAGCACGTACGTGAAGCCGTCTTTGAGCACGCCTCTGATGGAGTACTAGTACGGCAGGTAGTGGTGCTGCCGGAAGTCCCGGTTCTCGTAGAAGTGGATGGCCGTGGTGTTGGTGGTGAGCACGTGCAGATAGATGGCCTTACAGTGGTCCTGCGCTGTGGTGGAGATGTGCTCCTTCAAGCTGTCCAGCAGCAGGGAGCCTGGACCAATCACAGAGGAGCACAGCCAGCATTCAAAAACAACCCTGAGCTTCACTTGGGGTAATCTACATTTCCAGGGTCACATGTTGGTAATGTCGTGAGCTCTTATTTCCACTATTCCAGTGGCGCCGTTTAGTGTAGGGGTTTGTGTCAAATGATTGTGTGTGAGTCAATGGTGTGTCCTCGTATACCACAGACTGTGTGTGTGTGTGTGTGTGTGTGTGGTACCTATGCCATGTTTCCTGAAGTCTTTGACCACTCCCAGGCTGAGGATGTAGGCGACCTGTGTTTCCACCGGGAAGCTGGAGGCCAGGATATCTCCATCCTAACACACACACTCAATGTATTTATATAGCCCAATATCACAAATGTTACAATTGTCTCAGTGGACTTCACAGTTTGTACAGAAACCCCCCTCTCTCCTTGGACCCTCACATCGGACAAGGAAAAACCCCACAGTTTAGAGGGGAAAACCCTCAGGGAGAGCAACAGAGGAGGGATCCCTCTCCCAGGACGGACAGACGTGCAATAGATGCCTTGTGTAAATTGAAAAGAGAAACAAACACACACACACAAAAACACACACACACACACACACAAACACACAACACACACCCACACACACACAAACAACACACACACACACACACACAAACACACACACACACACACACACACACACACACACACACACACACACACACACACAAAAAACACACACACCACCACACACACACACACACAACACACACACACACACAAACACCACACACACACACACACACACACACAACACAACACAAACACACACACCACACACACACCACACACACACCACACACACACGTTGAACTTTGAAACTTTATCTGGAGAGCAGCCTTAGAAAAGCAAATTCTCCTTCGTATGGAAATCGTCTCAAACGTCAGGCGCCAGGAGAACAATGGCCTCAAGTGAGAAACCATTAATCATGAAGATTAATTTTTATTATTTATAACTGTACTTCTAGCATCTCATTGCTTTAGTCCTTTTCCAGCTGTGTTAGGAATATCAGAGAGTTACAGAGAGAACATACGATCAGAAGACAGGACACACACTTCCTTAAAAGAGATCAAGTCGTCCTGTCTCTTCATCCTCTTCCATACTCTGTCATCCTGCTAAGGACACTCAGTCAGGCGTATGTAGCTCAGCTAATTATCTCACTAAAAACAGATTCTGTTCCACTTTATTTCATAACGGCTGCACACTCAGACCCTTAACTGGGTTTTTTTTCTGCCTGGTTTGGTTGTTCACTCCTAAATCTGTTACACATTAAAAACAAGCTTCATTCCAGTAGATTTAATTGTCTTTTTTCCACATTTATGGTCAAATTAACAGTTAAACTCAAGGCAACAAATGGGAATTACTTACTCAGCTTTAAATTCCACACCAACACTATGTGCAATATAAATATCATTACCATCATTACAAACACTCTGCTATAAAACATGTGCAATATTATTATTATTATTATTAATAATTAATTTTTGCACTACTAAATACAGTTAATATTTACATTAATGATGTGGGCGTCTGTGTTCCTGTAGATATCTAATTGCTCTTTGTACTGCTCAGTTAGTGTACAGTTTGATTATCATGCTGCTGAGTTTATTGTATTTTCTGTAACTCTGGCACAAACTATTCTGGATAAATAAAGTCCTATCTTATCTAAATGAAAAACAGCGATGTACCTCTTTGTGCACTTTGGTCCGGCCTTTGATCTCGGCCACTATCATTCCCACGATGCCCCTCTGAAGGTGGCCGCGAGAGAGAAGAACTTCTTGTTGGAGGTGATGTCCTGGTACCATGAGTCTGGGTACCTGAGGGCCGACAGACAGAAGCATTAGAGCAGGGGAGTCCAAACTACGGCCCGCCGCAAATTCTAAAAGATAATGAAGTATGGCCACACTTTCTGCTTGTCTTGACTTCTTAAAGGTGGGGTAGGTAAGTTTGAGAAACCGGCTCGAGATACACTTTTTGTTATAGTTCATGGAATGCTCTTAACATCCCGATAGCAATGAATATCTTAAGTGCTTTGACAAAAAATCCATAAAAACATTTCATCTGTGGAAGCTGTAGTACTGTAAAAAGCACGACCATTCATCTGAGCCGGCCCAGCTAAAATAACTGGATGGCCTACCTGCCTGTCAGCCTTCCATCTGTGCACAAACTTATCTCGTGCCCTCATTGGTCATGTGCGCGTTCGTGTGTGTTGGAGGAGGGGCTCTGTAAGGAAGTGGCAGATTTTCTCCGGTTGCGTATTTTCAAATTCTAGCGCACTCGAGCTGGTTTCTCCAAAATTACCTACCCCACCTTTAAATGTATATATGTAAAAATATATGACACACTATTCATTGGTTGTTATGTCAGTGTTAATATGCCTAATTTTCAAATAAATTCAGTAAATTAAAGTTGACAACAAATCTTAGTTATCTTAGCAGGGGGTGTCCAAACTACGGCCCATTTTGAATCGGCACTCAGCTAAATCTAAAAGTATAATGGAATACGGCCCACAAATGAAACCTGATCTTGTCTTGTATTGTACTTCTTAAATACATCTGTAAACATATTACTCAGTAGTGTTCATGTGTTAAATAAGCCAATTACAATAAATTAAGTCAATTTAAGTTGAAAATATGTTCTAACAAATGTAAGTGATAAAAAAAGCCCAACAACTTATTATCATAACAACCTTGAAATACACCCTTCATATTTCCTCTAATGATCAGCAATCTGAGGCTTGTTTTAAGGGATGAGCTGCTAACACAATAAATGAAACCCTCGGAGAGCTGTGATGGAGGCTGTTTCTTTTCTTAAAGCATATGCTATTATCAAGAATGATTTACCTACATTTGATTGATTTAGCTGACTTATAACTTAACTTATGAGGCGATAAACCTCACCTCTAGTGAGCGGCCCAGCCCTTCGTATGGTTTTCTATATGTGGCCCTGTATGAGGGATTGTGGGAAACGGAATTTTGATCTCTAAGCATGGAGAAGTTCAGTTATTATTTATTCTCATTTCACGGGAAGACTAGGGGTAGAGGAACGTGAGGGATATTTCCAAATATCTGGAACAAACTCCCAGAAACCTGCAGGTCCGCTGAGACTGACTACTTTTAAATCCAGGATGAAGACTTTCTTTGCCGCTGCTTTAATTGAACTATTCACTCTAAACGACACTGTAACTTTTTATTCATGTACTTTTTCTTTTAATGTTTTTTATTGCTTTTTTTGACTGTTTTTAAAATACCATTTTCTTAATGTCTTTCATTTTTGTAAAGCACTTGGAATTGCCTTGTGTTGAAAGGTGCTATATAAATAAACTTGCCCGGCCTCTCTGTCTGTCTGTACACACAAACTGAAAGATTGACCATAAAGTTGACTTTGACTAAATAAGTATGGCAAAATACGTAATTACTCAAAATCCTAATTTGCCGACAGCAGTAAAATGTGTTGTGCTTTAGATTATTGTTTTTAAAAATTGTACTTTTTGTATGAATACTGCCAATAAAGCCGTAGCTAAAAAGTGTTTCACCTGCACAATGAGAGCACTCTGTTGTGGATCTATTACATTTAATTTACAGCGTGGACAGCCTCAGACTCCCAAAGAAAAACCCACTATTAAAACATGTTAGAAACCTCAGAGAGCGGCAGAGGAGGATCCCCCTCTCCAGGACGGAGAGACGAGAGACGTGTTCATTAAAAAAATAAAACCCCAATTTCAAAGTCAGTATAAACAAAATGTCACTTCAGAATGCTGGAGAGAATGCAGCAAACCATGGTTATATATTTTGGTAATGTTTCGTGTGGTTTCTGGGAAACAGCTATAAGATAAATGTTTTTGGCAAGAACCCACTGACCCTAGAACTTGAGAATAAATGGAAAAAGATTCCTACTTCTAGAGGTAAGGGTAGCAGTTATTAAACAAATGACAAGGTATTGGTTAAAATATAATAGTAGTACATTCTAACCATGAGAGTCATATCTTTGATGAACGATGGGTAAATTACAGAACGTTTAAAATGACCAGGTGAACATATGAAAATGAAGTATCTTAGTGCCTTCAAAAATAGTAACGTGTCGTCTCGTAGGAGGAGCTCGTGTTCGTTTGCATTAACAAACATTGGAGGGAGATCTGATTAAACGCTTCAAACTCCAGCCCTTCCAGGCGACCGGAGGGTATAAATCCTTACTCGATCGGGAACCAGTCCCCACAGAGCAGCTTGACATTCTCTATGTCATCGTGGCAGAGGAAGCGTAGCTGGACTTCACTGAGAGCTGAGGGCGGCACAGCGTCACTCATTCACACCTGCAGGAACACAGGTGAGGCAGACAGGAAACACACCGTTAAGACATCAGGCTGAACACAATGGGATAGGGTTAGGGTTAACCTTTCTGACCGGACAACCATCGCATAATTATTCTCTGTAAAACAAAGCTGTCTCTGCCGTCTGACGCTCTGTTTGATACTCAGATTTCTGGAGTCATTATACCGTTTTTGAGGAACAGAAATATGTTTTCTGGCATCACTTTAACATTTACGTTTTAATTTCTCCACATTGAGTTCAGGATTTTTACTCTCTCTCTTTCTCTCTTCCAAATCCAGACCTTTACGACAACGCATTGGAGGATCTGTGAGCTGAGCTGATATCACACTCAAGACACTTCAACGTGAGTACCTTTTGATTTACAAATATTCAGAGGTGGTAGATAAGTACTAAGATCTTGTACTTGAGTAAAAGTAGAAGTACTCAGATCTTGTACTTGAGTAAAAGTAGAAGTACTCAGATCTTGTACTTGAGTAAAAGTAGAAGTACTCAGATCTTCTACTTGAGTAAAAGTAGAAGTACTCAGATCTTGTACTTGAGTAAAAGTAGAAGTACTCAGATCTTCTACTTGAGTAAAAGTAGAAGTACTCACTTTAACATTTTACGGGGAAAATCTGCATTTTGGTTTGAGAGAGAGACAGCTTTGTTTTTTACGGAGAATAAATATGGGATGGTTGTCCGGTCAGGAAAGGCCTGGGGACTTCATTTCACTGTCGCACCACTCAAGCGGTTTATGAAAAGTTAATATTATACGGTATAAAGGTCACGGTATTCGGTCTTAAATAAAAAACGGTTTCACCGCCCAGCACCACAAATAAGTACACATACAAAAAAAAGATTTAAAGTTTGAATTTCTGAGTTTTCTTTTTTTTAAAGGATCAGAATTCTGAGATAAAAGTCAGAATTCAAATTATTTTTTTAAAACTTTTGCTCACATCCCTTGTATGGCCCTAATCCTCTTCTGTTATAATGCACATAATAACAATATCTAACAAAAAGACACAAAGAGTCATTGATATTGGTGTTCCATTTATTATGAACTCACAAATGTCTGCTTGTATTTATCCACTGTTACACCTTTTACTAAATCAACAACACAGTCAGATGTTCTATCAAATATATAAAACAACATGCTAATCAGCAACCAGGCCAACCTTGCATTCTGTACTTGTATCTCACATTATTATATTTTGTGTAAATATTGTCTTATATATGGGCACTTGGCTGGCAACTGGAAGGTCACCAGTTCAAGTCCCGGCAAGACCAAGTGCTACCGAGGTGTCCCTGAGCACGGCACCGTTACATAATGACAGCCCACTACTCCTAATACTAGGCTCGGGTCAAATCGCTGAGAAACCGGTTCGTTTCTAGTACCTGTACTATGAATGACAATAAAAGTACAAAAAAGGATATATATATATTGTTTTATAGCTTTCTATTAATCTGAATTCCTTATTAGTAATAAACTAACATTATTACAGCAACAGGTGATAGCAGGGTAAAAAGGCAAGCAATAATAAAAAAGAATAGTAAGAGGTATCTTTGAGAGATCTAGCTTTCCGTATCGACCCTAAATGCTTTTATTTTTATATTTCCAACAGTTAAAACTCTATGACATCGAATAACACGTTTTAGTTAGTTCGAAAACCCCCCAATAAAACTGGCTAAAATTGCTTTTATACTAAAGTACTATTGTTAATGTGTTCTTCTTCCAGTGTCTTTTGTGTGCCCCATTTATAGCAAAGCAAGATCTCGTATGAGTAAAACCTACTTGGTAATAACAGACTCGATTAGGGATGACTGTAATGTATTCACCTTTTATCCGTATTTTTCTATATGGTATTTAGATACCGAATGATAGTGGATTTGTAAATACTTGAAACACACTGCTGTCATATTTGGGATTATAAAGTATCTATTTAGCAACCTGGCGACTCGACTCTTATGAAACCCTACTCCCTCACAGTCCCACATTATAACTGACAGTGAAGTATTATATCTGATATTTACAACAACAACAGCTCGTTAGCCCACCGTTATCTCCTGATGCTAAGCTAACACGTACCTCTGTTTCAGCTCTCGGACCGGAGGAAAGTGAAGGAGAATGAAATCTCCGAAGCCTCTGTCGACTCAGTCTTCTACTCCGGAACCAGCATGATAAAACACCGCTTTATTCCCCGCTTGTTTCATTAGATCTGCCGATGCTACATGTGCTGCATAAAAACTAGCTTCAAGATAACAGCTGGGTGGTTACTTCCGGGTAGTGGCTGCTGCGTGCTGACGTAGTGCGTAAGGCGTTTTTCTCTCTGGGGATAACACGTGCTTTTTGTCGCCACCTACTGGGAAGAATAGAGAACAGGCTATAATATAAAACACTAATCCACCATACAATTAAAGTGGACCTATCATGCTAATTATAATAGTATAGTGTTAGGACCATACCTATAAGGCATATTTATACTTTTTTTTTTTTTTTTTTCAAAATACCAAACAGATCATGCATTTAGCCATGCCTCATTTCGCTCAATTTGCACCTTTTTTTTACCCCTGTTTTTTGCAAGGGCTGATTCTGTGAGAAACAGCACCACCTACAGGCTGGCATATGTACTACAGCGTCTCCAGCGCTTTCTCGAACGGCAATGGCCGTGGCTGTCTCCTCCTGATTGGTCAGGACAGTGTTCAAATCTGGATCAGTTTTTATCAGATCGTTGCAGCCCCTTTCTTTTAGAGATTTGGGGTATGGAGGAAAATAGAGAGGGTTGTGTTTTCTGACACTTGGTGAGTTCCCTGGAACACCGGGGACACATATTCATGTATAAAAGACGTACAAAGTGCATTTTGCATGATAGGTCCCCTTTAAAATAAACTTTAAGTTTCAACATCTACTAGTATTCAGATCTTGTACTTGAGTAAAAGTAGAAGTACTTAGATATTGTACTTGAGTTAAAAGTAGAAGTACTCAGATCTTATACATGAGTAAAAGTAGAAGTACTCAGATCCTTGTATTTGAGTAAAGTAGAAGTACTCAGATCTTGTACTTGAGTAAAAGTAGAAGTACTCAGATATTGTACGTAAAGTAGAAGTACTCAGATCTTGTTACTTGAGTAAAAGTAGAAGTACCCAGAGTGTAGAATACTCTGTTTCAGTAAAAGTCCTGCATTTAAAATGTCCTCCAAGTTAAAAGTACAAAAGTATTCTCATCAAAATATAGTTTAAAGTAGCGACAGTTAAAAGTCAGTGATCTGTGCAGATTGGTCCCATTTTCAGAATAATATATATGATATGTTTTATTAATGACTTGATCATCGAAGTGTTCTCACAGCTGGTAAAGGTGCAGCTAGTTTTGAATGACTTTGTATACTGCAGGGTCAGCTTGTGGATTTACTCAAGGTGGAATCTAAAGTATGATTTAACACTGATCTATATTTCACATCATTCATCCACATCTGCAAAAGTAACTAAAGGGATTAAATACATTAGTGGAGTAAAAGTACACAGTTACCTCTGTGGTGGAGTAGAAAGTACAGAGTAGCAGTAAACTGGAAATACTCAAGTAAAGTACAAGTACCTCAAAATTGTACTTAAGTACGTCTTGAGTAAATGTACTTAGTTACTTTACAACACTGAATATTATTCTCCTTAAGCAATGAAAGTGTGTAAGTGAAAGTATTTGTTTAACAGTGTTGGAACACACTCAGTAAGAGGCTGACACCACTAACCCGTCCTCCTAAGACGACTGAAATCTATACAATATGTTGGAGTTCATTTTTTGTTTCGTTGACTTACTATTCAATTAAAGATGGGGTAGGTAAGTTTGAGAAACCCGGCTCGAGATCGCTTAGAACTTGAAAATACACAACCGGAGAAAATCTGCCACTTCCTTACAGAGCCCCTCCTCCAACACACACGAACGCGCACATGACCACTGAGGGCACGAGATAAGTTAGTGCACAGAGGAAGGCTGACCAGGCAGGTAGGCCATCCAATCATTTTAGCCGGCCGGGCAAAATGATGGTCGTGCTTTTTACAGTACTACGGCTTCCACAGATGATATTTTTTTATGGATTTTTTGTCAAAGCACTTCAGATATTCATGCTATCGGGATTGTTAAGCGCATTCCATGGAATACTAACAACAAGTGTATCTCGAGCCGGTTTCTCAAACTTACCTAACCCACCTTTAAAGTAAATATTACAATATTTAATATTCTTAATATAATAACTGCATTTTGACCAAAGAGGACATTGTGGGAAACCCAACAAATCACTTTTGAGTTACCTTTGTGTTTTGTGGAAAGCGCAATATAAATAAAGGTTTGATTTGATTACAAGTATTGTAAATATGTCTCATGTTAGTCCCAGGATGCGTCTGCTCTGGCTCCTGGCGTCTCTTCTTGGCCCTGCCTGCATGTGACCTCCTGTCTGCGGATTGGAGCCTTCAACATCGAAAAATTTGGACCCAAGAAATCCAAGGACACGGTTGTGAGGAAACCATCAACGAGGTCTGAAACTCAATTTGGTATCCAATATTATTTGTTCTTCGTTGTTTTGACTGTATCCTGGGAAGTGAAACATAGTAACCCACTTCCTGGTTTAAGTTTCCTTTTCTTGGAAAACAATGATTGTTTTGTGAGGTAGGTAATGGTAATTTTAAACATAATGCTGAAGTGCAGCACTAAACAGCTACGGTGGCCAGCAGGTGTAAACGTGCTGCTACGGCCCCAAACTCTTCCATCAGGAGAAACACGCTGCAGCTTCAGAAAGGATGCAGATATAAAAACACATGAAGAAACATCGCCAGCAACTTGACAACACATGCAGCTTTTAGAGAACATTCAGCACCTTGAGGAGAACATGTACAGAGTTTACTAGACTTCTGTCTGTCTTCTTCTGCTGTTCCCTTTAGTGGTTACTTTCCTGTCTGTCTTCTTTCTGCTGTTCCCTTCAGTGTCTACTTCTGTCTGTCCTTCTTCTGCTGTTCCCTTTAGTGTTTACTTCCTGTCTGTCTTCTTCTGCTGTTCCCTTCAGTGTCTACTTCTGTCTGTCTTCTTCTGCTGTTCCCTTTAGTACTTCCGTCAGAATTGACCAATCAGAATTACATTTTATTTCAGATTGTCCAGCGCTATGACATCATTTGATCCCCAAGGGCTCAAGACAAAGATCTGAGCGTAACCAAAAGACTCAAGGCGCTTGTAACAAGTAAGACTTATGAAGAGCAACCACAGTATTCTAACACACACACACGCAGACTGTGAGGGCTGCTTCATTCATCTAAATGTATCTTGACTACTGCAATATGCAAATCTCAGTAATCGCAGTATTTGGCAAAACAACTGTGCAAAAATCTGAATGAAGTATTGTGGAGAAAGTCCTGGCCTCCTACAAAACAGTATTCTATTGACTTAATACAGATACACTTTCATACTATAATCAATCATATATTCCTTTCTGGAATGCAATATCAATCAATATAAAAGTTATGTTTTACAAATGCAGCAGCACTAATGGTGACCCCTTTTGAAGAAGTTTTGTAAAAAGTTCGACAGATCATGAACTCACATTATGATTTGTGTGTGTGCTGTGTGTGTGTGTGTGTGCGGTGATGTGTGTGGTGTGTGTGTGGTGGGTGGTGTGTGTGGTGTGTGTGTGTGTGTGTGTGTGTGTGTGTGTGTGTGTGTGTGTGTGTGTGTGTGTGTGTGTGTGTGTGTGTGTGTGTTTCCCCAGAAGGTACTACTAAGTTCAGCTACATCGTCAGTGAGCCCCGGCCCCCTGGGTTTCAGCATCTTACAAGATAAGGAGACGATACCTCTTCCTCTACAGGTAAACACAAACTGCCAAAATCAAAAACCCAAACAGCTAAATGATCTTCTGGAGTATTGCTTTTGTTAATTCCCCAGATAAGTGAGCAGAAAGAGACAACATGTGTTTGATTAAAGAGTGTAAACAGCATAGAAAATGACTCCAGGAGTTCTGTGTGAATATGTGACCATGAGAACGAGTCGATGAACTCGATCCACTGTTTGGAGACGTCTTCAAAATAAAGAATTCCATCTTTCCTCTGCAGGGATGAGACGGTGACCGTGACAGACAGCTTCCAATACAATGACAAAGGCTTCAGCAGACCGCCCTTCGTCGTCAAGTTTTCCTCCACACAGACCGGTATTAGAGGAGAGACTCTGTTCTTTCACTGGAAATGTAGATTATCTCAAACTATTATAGAGAACTAAGCACCAGACTTGTGTGAGAGGAGATCCTGAGGTCTGTCCGTCACCAACACCACTTAAAAAAACTCTATCATTTGCTTTGGTCTAATATTTTCTTACACATTTGCCTCAGTCCTCTTTTTCAAGTTTCAAGTCCTTCCTGCCAAATTTAAAAGACTTCATTTTTATTAGTGGTTGAATGTGATGAAGTACATTTACTTACTTTAGCGGTATTTCTTCTGTTGTCATTGTCTCTCTTCATTCACTCCTCTCTCTCTCCTGGTCTCCAGCTGTGAAGGAATTTGTTCTGATCCCCATTCACACCAAACCGGGGAACGCTGTAAAAGAAATTGATGCCCTTGTTGATGTGGTGAAGAAGGCCAAACTCAAATGGAAGAACAATGTAATACCCCAAACAAGACATACAATACACACACACACACACACACACACACACACACACACACACACACACACACACACACACACACACACACACACACACACACACACACACACACACACACACACACACACACACACACACACACACACACACACACACACACACACACACACACACACACACACACACACCTCAAAATATTAACTTAAATCTCCATCATGACTCACATAGAGCAGTTCTTTCTGGTGTAAAATGAATGGACGTCAGAGAACAACATTTAGATAGGGGGCATTTACATTTGTGTTTTTTCAGATTGCCCATTACCATGACATTATTCTGATCTAGTTTGCAAATAATTAGTTTGAGCCGTTTCCCTCTGCCTGCAGAACATCATGGTGCTCGGAGACTTCAACGCAGACGGCAAGCATGTCAAAAAGAAAGACTGGAAGAAAATCCGCCTCCTCGACACCAACAAGAAGGACTTCCACTGGCTGATCGCCAACGGTGTCGATACTACACTGGCAGCAAAGTCTTCCAACACTTACGACAGGTGAACACACACAGATAATCATGAAGACACTTGCATGCACACACACACACACTCTTAATCCCGCCTCTCTTCCTGTTTCTGCAGGATTGTCGTCACCACTGAAATGGAGAAGGGAGTGGTGGCAGGCAGCGCTAAGGTCTTTGATTTTAGGGAGGAATATGATCTGAGGGATAAGGTATGTTCACATTGGACTGCGTCACGATTACATGTAGAGTCAATTCATAAGACGCGGAAAGATGCAAATTCGTGGCGTCTTCATCTCGATCTTCAAATTTGCGTGACGCTGTCTCACGACATCCTCCTCGCCAGCGACATCTTGTTTGAGTGGACGCATTTCATTGAACAACACACATTTAAATTGGCATGTTCAGAAGTCAGTACATGTGAAGCACTTACTCAATGCATTGACGTGGATAGGCTGCGTAATTCTCAAGAGTTAAATTATTTTAACATGAGCATCAAATACTGGACATTTCTAGACAGGTTTATAAATGTAGAAACCCATAGACAGTATCTGGCTGTGGCAGACACCTCAAATCACTCCATGTGAGCCATATTAGAATCTCACTCATTTAACTAAAGTAATTCAGCCTAGTGTACGTAACTAAAATAAAGCATGACTGCATATTATTTCAGTGAAGATCAGCATTTTATCAAATGAATATTTGACATTTTGAAATAGCATCAGACCTTAATGATCATTCCATGTGAGCCATAGATAATCTAACTAACACAAAACAGCTATTTCAAGACGTTCCTTTGCTCTGACATCTAATGTCACTGTGGATGAGCCACATCGTTATGTTGAGCTGATAACAGATGAACAGATGAAGTTATTAGGCGTGCAGAGATGTGAGAGTTGACAGGAGTAGTCACTACAGTCAGGAACTAGATTACTTGATTTCTAGATTAAAGGTGGGGTAGGTAAGTTTGAGAAACCGGCTCGAGATACACTTTTTGTTATATTCCATGGAATGCTCTTAACATCCCGATATCAATGAATATCTGAAGTGCTTTGGACAAAAATCCATTAAAAAATTCATCTGTGGAAGCCGTAGTACTGTAAAAAATAACTGGATGGCCTACCACTGGATGGCCTGTCAGCCTTCCATCTGTGCACAAAACTTATCTCGTGCCCTCATTGGTCATGTGCGTGTTCGTGTGTGTTGGAGGAGGGGCTCTGTAAGGAAGTGGCAGATTTTCTCCGGTCCGTGTATTTTCAAACTCTAGCGCACTCGAGCCATGGTTCTCCAAAATTACCTACCCTACCTTTAAGTAATTGCTTATGATTTTTTCATTTTTTGGAACTATTGAGTTGATGGTCTAAAAAAACATCTGTGCAAAAGAAACCACCTGTTAGAAGTGAGACTATGTTCTGTATGCCAAGTTGGAAGAACAACAAATTGAAATGAGTTCCTAAAATGTTTTCTTGTTTCTCTTCAGGCAAAGAAGGTCAGTGACCATTTCCCTGTGGAGGTGGAGCTTGAAGCCGCAGGTGCGCCGGCGCTGGTGCCGGCCGCGCCGCCGGGGCCGGAAGCGGCGCCGCGCCGGCGCCGGAGCCGCCGGAGGAGCCGGAAGAGCCGGAGGAGCAGGAGGAGCCAGAGGAGCCGGAGGAGCCGGAGTCATAAAAAAACGGACAAAAACGGATTCAGATGAGCCGCCAGAAACCCCCCCAAAAAAGCAAACCTTGAGTCTGAATCTGAATAGGATCATTCAGTTGGAGTATTTCTGGAAACCATGCAGCATTGAAAAAGAATTAAAAAAATAACTGCCAAATGATTTCATTGCAAACTTGTGTTTTTGAAACAGGAGAGTGAAGTGTCTCATTGTAGTGTTTATGAGGTAAATGAAACATGATGATTGAGAGAATTAACCAAGAGATCTTTTATAGGAATGGATATCAGTTTTGTACTGAAGAGAAAGACAATGTGTATCCAGAGCAGAGGTTGCGCTAGACTTTTTCGCGTGCCCGTCATTTTGACGGACAGCATTTCCGTCAAAATCCATTATTACCCGTCGGCCTGTACACAACTCTAAAAAATAATGGGATGTTCCCTTATAAAGTCGGTAACTCCTGGAGAGTGGAGGTTATTGCATTTACGCTAAATCAGTGCAGTCATTTTTTATTCATTAAGAGTTTTATAATAGTTCTAAATTGGCTCTGATTCTACAACTTCATTCCTCTCACTGTGTTTTCTCTTCCCACCTTTATCCAGCAAAGCTCATTTCTTGCATATGTGAACCTCCCTGGCAGTCAGCCTGATTCTGAATACAGGATGCAACATCTCGTCAATCTATTTCATTTGATTTATACAGGCTACTTAACATGCAGAATGTCGTAATTGTGCATGCTAAGTAGCCATGTGCTTTCTGGGGGCTTAATCTTTATTGACAGAATTTAAACATTCACTATAATAATTGTAGCGTCCCCCGGCTGAATGATGGCCAGACTCTCCAACTGATGGTATCTGTTTATTGCACACCCTTGCTTTTATACAATCATTACCAAGTAAGAGTTTGTGCCCTTATCAGCCAGATGCTAAAAACCGAATTGCAACTATTTAAGTATATGTTAATTTATTCGTCATCTATCCGTCATTATACATGTGTGTTTACACTGCTCCATAGAGAGGCGAAGTCCCCTCCCCTTCCGGTTGACCTCCATGGGACCTATTTCGGAAAAGTTATGCATTGAAGTCAATGGAGAGAGAAAGATTATCTTTCGATCCCGTTTGAATTGTTGCCACGACTTACACATATGATGTTTGTCAATTTAAAAGATAATTTTACAAGGTCAAAAAAATAAAAATGTGTCGTAAAAACTGTGAAGTAACACTTTTTTTTGTGTGAAAGAGCTCAATGAACTACAATCTCCCGTCTCGCACCACACACCAAGACGGCCGTCACGTTGGCACATTTCACTTCTTTCTTTCAGAATGAGGCGGAAAGTATTAAAAGAGGTGAAAATCCCCTCCAAGTCTGGGTCATGTTGAGAGCTGTACATACACACAAGGGGAGTTAGTCGGTTCGTAAGAGCCAGGCATGCGGGACCGGGACTCTGGGATTTGTAGTTCTTTCTAGTTGCGTATTTTTCATAGTCTTATATTTCAACAGTTTTATGACAAACTGTGACTTTTCTGACATGGAAATTATTATTTAAGATCGACAAACATCATATGTGTAATTCGTGGCACAATTCAAACGGGACTCGAAAGATAATCTTTCTCTCTCCATTGACTTCAATGCATACCTTTTTCAGAAAATAAGGTCCCATGAGTCCCATGAGGATTATATTTGGATGCCAATATTTTCTTATGGTAAGTTTTCGTTTTGCACTTTTATTTTGATAGTAATAACACAGTAATAAGATCGAGACTCTTATTTTGAAGGAACTTTACCGGAAGTCGATGGACAATAGAGAGGCGAAGTCCCTCCCCTTCCGGTAAAAGTTCCTTCAAATAAGAGTCTCTATCTATTACTGTGTTATTACTATCAAATAAAAGTGCAAAACGAAAACCTTTACCATAAGAAAATATTGGCATAACAAATATAATCACTTCTCTGAAAGGTAACTCATTTTTAAATATAGTTAGACATATAAAAAAATAAATAATGATAATAATATTAATAATAATAATATTAATAAGCTTTATATTTGTATAGCACCTTTTATACAAGAATTGTAGCCAAACTGGCTTCACAGCAGTTCAATAGACACATTAGTATAACATGACAGGATAAAAGCAATGTAGAGGAGCAGCTACATTTCAACAAATGTATCCACTAAGATTAATACATGAAGACTTGTGACTCGGACTTGACCTTGGACTCTCCTTAGGTGATTCGGACTTGGACTCGGACTCGAACACAGGTAATGATGACTCGGACTCGACTCGGACACTCCTTGGGTGACTCGGACTCGAACACAGGTAATGATGACTCGGACTCGACTCAGACTTGACTCGGACACTCCTTGGGTGACTCAGACTTGGACTCGGACACTCCTTGGGTGACTCGGACTCGAACACAGGTAATGATGACTCGGACTCGACTCGGACTTGACTCGGACACTCCTTGGGTGACTCGGACTTGGACTCGGACACTCCTTGGGTGACTCGGACTCGAACACAGGTAATGATGTCTCGGACTCGACTCGGACTTGACTCGGACAATCCTTGGGTGACTCAGACTTGGACTCGGACACTCCTTGGGTGACTCGGACTCGAACACAGGTAATGATGACTCGGACTCGACTCGGACTTGACTCGGACACTCCTTGGGTGACTCGGACTTGGACTCGGACTCGAAAAGTGGGGACTCGAGAGTGACTTGGTGACTTGACTACAACACTGGCTCCGCCCACAACTTGGTATTCATTGATCATTTCAATCTCTTCTGGACCGGGATGGAATTCACCCCAGTCCACATGGCACCCGTTGCCCTAGCTGCAAATGGTAAATGGACTATTTCAAAGCGCTTTACATACTACATGTCATTCACCCATTCACGCCCATTCATACAGAGCAGTGTACCTTACTCTAGGAACTAACATTCATACACACTCACACACCATTGGCCATGCCATCGGGAGCAACTCAGGGTCAAGTATCTTGCCCCAAGGATTACATCGACATGTGACTGCACGGGCTGGGATCGAACCCAAAACCTCATGGTTGTGAAGACGAGAGCACTCCCTCGCAGCCCACAGTAACCCCCTTGCAAATATTCTTCACGCTGTCTCCACTGCCAAGTGCACATTGACAAACTGCTGCTGCAGCGCACCTGAACACAACACAGGTCACTGATGGACCACTGTTCTTCACCTCAACTGACACTACCCATTTTGCTCGCTGGTGCCACTCAGCGGCCAACAAAGACATTATTCAGAGTGCTGCTTCACACAGACTGTTTAACTGTTTCACTGATTTCTCATGCTGTTTATTCTGATGGTCATAAAGGGGAGCCAGCACACATAAAGCCAACGCAGCTCCCTATCCCTGTTCTCAACAACAAAAGGACACCAGCTCGCCCTCCCCATAAAATAATTTGTGCAACCCTCATACCTGTTTCCATAAGTTCAGACTCATCTCAAGTAAGCTCATTGAACCTGGCTGTTCTTAATACCTGGCAGGCAAGTCACTTATAATGAATGATTTTATTATCAACCACAACAACTTCATGTTTTTAACTGAAACCTGGCTAGATGACAACAACCGGGCAGCTGTTCTCATCGAACAGCCCCGGGTGAGGAACAGAGCACACAGGAAAGGAGCTGGAGTTTGTCACTTGTTTATTAATAGTTTTCTTTGTAAGAACATTTCAATGCAATCATTTCCCTCTTTTGAATATCTGGCTGTTCAGTTCAATTTCTCTTGTCGAGCACTGGTCCTACTTTTCTACAGACCACCAAAATATTCAGCAATATTTCATGATGATTATCAGAATTATTGTCAATGATCTGCATTGATTTGACTCCATACTCGTAGTCGGTGACTTAAACATTCATACTGACCACCCCATGGACAGTAGTGCTATTGAATTAGCAAAATAACCTGGAAAGCTATGGACTCATCCAGCATGTGAAAGGACCCCTCATACATTGGTCACACTCTTGATCTGGTTATAACCAACGGTCTTAATTTCTCAAACATCCTGGTCACAGACGTTGTCCTCTCAGACCACTCCGTATCTTCTTTCAGATCGATATCAGTGTTTCCCTTAAGAGCAACCACACATAATCACAAAACGACACATCACAGAGAACACAAGCACGTTGTTCATTCAGGCCTTCTCTCCACTGTCGAGCCTCATTCAAACTCTGTTGATGGATTGGTTGACAATTACATGTCTGAAATACACATCTCTTTGATGCTCTCGCCCCTGCTACAGCTGTCTCTGGTGATGAACGCCACAGTGGTGAAGCTTCATAAGAGGGAATGCAAATCAATCAAATCTCCATGTTCATTTTGAGATGTTTAAAAGACTGTCTCCATTACTTATGACTTCATACTACGAAATGCAAGACGCTCCTATTCTCAGATTATTACCAAAAACAGCAACAACACTCGTGCCTTGTTTTTCAACTGTTTAGAGCCAGAGCTCTCTTATCTTCAGGAGGTTTACTCCTCGTCCCCGGAGTCAGAACTACATTCACCGAGGCAGCTTTTAGTTTTTATTCAACCACAAGCTTGGAAACAAACCAACTGAAATTCTGGCGGTCCGCCCCAACCTGGGTTCTTTTTTAAATCAACGTTAAAAACCTTTTATGTTATTCTACGGACAACTCTTTTTATTATTCGCCGGAATTTTTGCACCTCTTCTCCTCCGGCATTCAACATCGCAGAAACTTCCGTTCAAACATCAAAAACGTTCAGCTCGGTCGGGAATCGATGACTATTTCTTGTATTATTCATAACTTTCATAATTCCAGAGATACATCCCATAATACATCACATTTTTAACCATTGAAGTCAATGGAGACATTCTTCAGACTTCAACAAATCTTCATGCGACTTCAACTGCTAACTGTTCATTCATACTTTCACTCAGAAACCTCATTCCAACTTTAAAATGTTACACATCTTTCTGACATTACACAACACAACACAACTTTTAAATCTGATTCTTACTTTTAGAGATATTAAACATTGTTCAGACCTTGGTAAAGAGGCTTTCTTCAGATTTTAACATTAACTAGAGTGCGTGATGTCACAGCTAGAGGGTAAGAAATCTTGAAATGTGTCTTCATATATTTTTTTAAAACTGCCATAATTCCCAAA